GGAGGTGCTGCTGGTGCTGCTGGCGCTGCTGGAGGTGCTACTGGTGCTAGAGCTACTGGAGCTGCTGGTGGTACTGCTGCTGCTGGCGGTGCTGCTGGCGCTGCTGGAGGTGCTGCTGGTACTGGTGCTGCTGGAGCTGCTGGAGGTGCTGCTGCTGCTGGTGGTGCTGCTGGCACTGCTGGAGGTGCTGCTGGTACTGGAGCTGCTGGGGACCCTGCTACTGCTGGCGGTGCTGCTGGAGCTGCTGGGACTGGCCCTGCTGAGGGGGTTGGAGCTGGAGGTGCTGAGCGGCCACGGTCGTACTACGTTCCGCTCCTTCAGCAGGTTCTTGGCCTTCCGCCCTCTCCTGGTCCTACTCCTCCCCTACTGAGTCCACCGCTTGTCCAGTCGCAGTCACAGTTACAGCCAGTCTCTCCACTTCCTGGTCCTTCTCCCTACACTGCGCCGACGGGAGGTCTTACGGAGCGTCGTGAGCCTGAGTCTCGTCCTCCGTCGCCTGAGACTCGTCCAGAGTCGTCTGAGTCGCGTCCAGAGTCGCCTGTCCGCGCTGTCCGCGCTGGTCGTCGTGTTCCACGTCAGCGTCCTCCTCCTGTCCTTGGCACTCACTATATGACCCTACGTCCCTCTACTGCTCCACAGCGTGTCCCACTGCCGTCTCCACCAGCGTCCTCTCTTCCTGCTCTTGCTGACCCGGAGTCTGACTCTCTTCGTGCTGCCAGTCCTACTGTCACGCGTCTCCTTGCCACTGCTGTCACTGACCCTTCCTTTGAGTCCTCTGCTGCGTCTGCTCTAGTCGCTGAGCTTGTTGACTTTGCTGCTGCCTGTCGTCTAGACTACGCCGCTAGCCTTGTTGCTGAGTCTGAGTCTGAGTCTGTCTGTCCTCCGTCTGTCGGGGGTGAGTGTGCTCTTGGCACGGACGTCCTTGAGGACAGACAGGAGGAGTTTGAGTGCTTTGCCGCTGCTTTGCCTCATCTCGTGTCCATGCTAGTTGCCCCTGAGGGAGACCCGGATGCACCAGACATCCCGACCCCACGCTCCTACACAGAGGCGATGGAGGGTCCCTACTCCTCTCAGTGGCAGACAGCCATGGACGCAGAGATGGCTTCCTGGAAGTCCACAGGCACCTACGTCGACGAGGTTCCCCCACCTGGGGCGAACATCGTCAGTGGCATGTGGATTTTCAGGGTGAAGCGGCCGCCGGGTTCTCCGCCTGTCTTCAAGGCGCGTTACGTTGCACGAGGCTTCAGTCAGCGAGAGGGAGTTGACTTCTTCCAGACCTTCTCCCCGACCCCGAAGATGACCACTCTTCGGGTTCTGCTGCACGTCGCTGCTCAGCGTGACTACGAGCTCCACTCTCTTGACTTCAGCACTGCGTTCTTACAGGGCAGCCTGCACGAGGAGATCTGGCTGCGCCGCCCACCTGGCTTCACTGGGTCGTTCCCTCCTGGTACCCAGTGGAGCCTCCGGCGGCCAGTCTACGGTCTCCGCCAGGCACCCCGTGAGTGGCACGACACACTGAGGACTACTCTTGCTGCTCTTGGGTTTGCTCCTTCTACTGCTGACCCGTCGCTGTTTCTACGCACCGACACCACTCTGCCGCCGTTCTACGTTCTTATTTACGTAGACGACTTGGTCTTTGCTACTGCTGACACTGAGGCACTCGCGCACGTGAAGTCGGAGCTGCAGAAGAGACACACGTGCACAGACCTGGGTGAGCTGACAAGCTATCTTGGCTTGCGGATCACCCGGGACAGAGCACAACGCACCATCACCTTGACTCAGTCACACATGGTGCAGCAGGTCCTTCAGCGCTTCCGCTTCACGTACTCCTCGCCTCAGCCCACTCCTCTGCCTACCGGTCACTCGCTCTCAGCTCTGCCTTCGGATGAGTCCGTAGAGCCGAGTGGCCCGTATCCAGAGCTTGTGGGCTGCCTCATGTACCTGATGACCTGCACTCGACCTGACCTGGCATACCCTCTTAGCATCCTAGCACGCTATGTCGCTCCCGGCCGTCACCGGAAGGAGCACATGGATGCCGCTAAGAGGGTGTTGCGCTACTTGTGCAGTACGTCGGGCATGGGGCTCGTGCTTGGAGGTCGGGGCGACGTTGTCCTCACGGGTCACTCAGACGCTTCTTGGGCTGACGACCAGGCTACCCAGCGGTCGTCTCAGGGTTACACCTTCAGCCTTGGCTCTGGTTCAGTTTCTTGGCGTTCTACTCGCTCTTCTTCTGTTCTCAGCTCCAGTTGTGAGGCTGAGATCTACGCCACAGCCATGGCTGCACAGGAGTTACGCTGGCTCACCTACCTGCTGACCGACCTGGGAGAGCGGCCTCGTTCTCCTCCAGTGCTGTACGTTGACAACAAGGCCGCCATTGCCTTGTGTGAGGAGCACAGACTGGAGCACAGGACGAAGCACATCGCTCTGCGCTACTTCCTTGCTCGAGAGCTGCAGCAGCGTGGTCAGCTTCGTCTGCGTTACGTGGCCACTCGGGCCAACACTGCTGATGTGTTCACCAAGGCGCTTCAGCCTTGTGACCATCAGCGTTTCTGTACTGTTCTAGGCCTTGTGCCTACTCTCCCTCACTTGCTCACTTCTTGACTCTGCTTGTACTGTGATCTCTATATATATATACCTGCATGTTTACTCTTGTTAGGTTGTGATCACTGTACCTCTTGTTATATTATCAAACTGCATGTGAACTGGTCTTGTGACCACTTGCTTGTGCTCGGAATTTGTGTGGTTTCCTTGAGATCCACCCTGAGCTTGCTTTGCTTTGCTTTGACTGGTCTTGTGACCATCTGGTTGTCTCCCACTTAGCCTATGGGGGTGTGTCAAACATTATACATGTTCATATTGTGTAGGCTATGGTGGGTTTAGCCTTAGGGGGTACAACATTGCTAGGGTTTCCTACTTGTATCACCCTGCTGCCTAGTTTCACACATTCTCGTTCAGTTCTACATTCTAACATTTTTACCACTATTTCTTCACATAGTTCTCTACTACAACCTATTACCTAGCCATAGGAACTGGTTTCATGTCGTTAGCACAACTACGCAGCTCGTGGTGCATGTTTGAACGTTTGCTGGCCTGAATCTGTGCAAGGATAGGCCTGTGCGCAACATGTCACCTTTTCAACGTTTGGATGGTGTTTTTAGCACTATTTCTTCACACAGTTCTCTACTACATCCTATTACCTAGCCATCGGAACTGATTTCATGTCGTTAGCACAACTACGCAGCTCGTGGTGCATGTTTGAGCGTTTGCTGGCCTGAATCTGTGCAAGGATAGGCCTGTGCGCAACATGTCACTGTGTCATGGCCAAGCCGAGCCTGACTTGCTCCAAGCCAAAGGCTGTCGGCGGCAAGCTGCCAGGCTTGCCACTAGGCTCGCAACTCGCGAGCCACCCCGTCTCGACCTCCTCCAGGTGTAATCCACCCGCTCAGGTGATATGGCATGTCTCACGTTGTCCGACAACCTCAGCCAACGGAGGAGCTACGAAGAAAGGAGGTCTTACATACATGCACCAAATCTGACGTGGAACTGTGTAACTGACTGAAACCCATAGTCAAGTGATCATCTCACTGAGAGCCGAGAAAGAATTCCAAGCCACACTGCAAGTCGACTTCAGGAATCTTCCATCTCGGTTCAAAGAGCACCTCAAACGGCCAAGCCATTGCCCACACTATGCTCACTTGTACTATGGTGTTCGTTAACATTTCTCTACTCCCTTGTCTCCGGTCCGGCTTTCTTTGCCTGCCTGACTGTAGTAAGGAAAAGCAAGCCATTGAAACTCCCATTGAAGGATTTGGTTCTATCTAGCATGAGGATGCGTATTCGGTTGCTGAGGTTGCATACTTCATGCCAGCCTGACCTAAGCTCTTCGCATTGTCATCATTGCTGATTCGCATCCTCTTGCGTTGCAGCAGCCCATTTTGCTGCCTTTTTCCTTCCATGGTACCTTTCTGGCCTGTTATGGTTGGTTCTGCTGCCATGTTTTGCTACCCTCACATCACCTACTTGTGTTGATGTCAAGGTGTGGTAGGAGTGTCAACATCTGTGAGCACAGTGAATACATTTTTGTTTCTAAATGTTTTCGAAACAAATAAGGCCTCTCTGCCTTTGGTTATCAAATTCTTTGTTTCTCCCCTCCTTTCTCTTGCACTGCAAGTGCCTTGTCAAAAAATCCATTTGAGTTACCACCGTTGTTCTTTTGACTTTGCTGCTCTGCTCGTTCAGCTCACTTCATATGACTGATGCTCCACCACTTGCATGCCAGCCCCCACTATATACCTCTCTTCCCTCTCGTTCCTCCTTGTCCCTTGAACCTGGTCATCTTCCCCCTTTGTTTATCGTCTCTGGTTCCTCCCCATCCTTCTTTTGGTGCTTCCATTTCACCCTTTCAGAGTGAAATTTCCACTCGTCTCTACTTACTCCTCCCATTGTTCGTGTCGTTCATGGCTCGTGAGACGTAGTGAGCCATTTCACATCACCATCAGAGTCTCCGCCTTGTGAGCTAGAGTCTGCGGGTCTCCGCCCTTCTCCCTATGCATTCATTTCCGCCTTGCTGCAACCATTCGCAGTGTCGCTTACTGGCGCTCCCCCCAACCCATTTCTTGCCCATCCTGACATCGTTTTTTCACCTTCTCCTCCTAGCCTCCCCGCTTTTGTTCTACTGCCGTCTAACTATGCCAAATACATATACATACATGTGTGTAGACAAGCGTCTTCTCTTACTGTTTCATCCTGACATGTGCTCAGTTCATTCTCCCACGTCTTGTCATCATGCCTCCATCTTCTTTTGCCCCTTACCTCTTCCCTTACTCACAATATGCCTGATCCGTTATGCCCGTGCAGTTCCTTGTGCGTGTATTCATTACCACCAGCTTCCTCCTCTTTGTCCCCGATCCTACCCTACCAGGCCTTGTCTACTTTCATCAACTTGCAGTGAAGGAAGTGGTCGAACCCAGGGTCAGTCATTGAATTGGAGAAGGGCTGTTTCAGGCGATTCCAGTGGATGATATGGCTGCTGAGAGAGTGACGAGTGCACTGAATGCGTTGATCAAAGAGGCGGTGCTGGCAGCAGTGAGAGAGGAGTTGGCTGCACACAAGGAGGAGGTGGATGAGTTGCGGCGCACATTGCTTGCTGCAGGGGACCAGAATAATGTGACTGCTGTGGTGGAGAGGGAGAGAGAGTTTGCAATTGTGAAGGGGGAGTTGGCGGCGGTGAGGGCAGAGTTGGAAGCGGTGAAGGGGGAGTTGGAAGCGGTGAAGGGGGAGTTGGAAGCGGTGAAGGGGGAGTTGGCGGAACACAAGGGTGCTATGGCAGAGCAATGCGCTGAAAATAGTAGGGCACCGGATGTAAGAGGGCTGAAAGGGAAGAGTAGAAAGAGAAGTAAAGAAACGTCAGTGGAGTTTGGAAAAGAGGAGGAGAGGAAGGAGGTGCAGGAGGTAAATCGTCCACGGGGCATGGAGGAATCGGCAGCCGGGGAGGGATTGCGGAGGACACAAGATCTGAAGTTGAATGTTGAGGTGGAAATCAGGCAGAGCGAAGGCGATCAGAAGGCTGCACGGGAGGTGAGTGTTGAGGGAAGTATTTCATAAGTGAGGACTTGCCTTGCTTGCCAGTTGTTTCTTATCACCATGGTCATCCATTCCCTTGTCATGTTTTCCCCACCCATTTCCTCCAGGAAATCAAGTCAGCAGCACAGGAGACCGATTTGGAGCTGAGGAATCTCAGCGGCCTCTCAGACGACATCCTCGCCCATGTGTCCACCAGGACGCATTTGACGCGCATTGACCTGGACTCTAGCTCAGGCTTCAGTGCAGAGGGCATCAAGCACCTCTACAGGCTGCCCCTGCTGGAGAAGCTAAACCTCAGCGCCTCAGACGTATCGGACAGTGCCTTGGAAGGCATTGGGTTCTTGACCAGACTCACGCACCTTTATCTCTTGAGAACCAGGGTGACCGATGCTGGTCTGCCATGCTTGACATCTCTTCCATCTCTCAGATTTCTAGCGCTCGGTGACTGCAACGGCGTGACAAATGCTGGCATGGTGCATGTAGGGAGACTGACAGGACTAGAGTATCTTGGTCTGGATCGCACGGCAGTCACGGATGATGGGCTTCAGCATCTGACTTCCCTGACCAAGTTGTCAAATCTATGGATGCCGGATGGGGAGAGTGTTCGCAATGGGGATGTGCGCAGGCGGATAGGAAGTCAGGGCAGCAGGGAGGGACACAGAGGGGAGGGAGATTAAATGGGGGCAAAGGTGACTGGCTTGGTTGCTATGAGACACTGAGAAGAGGTGCGCAAGAAATGGTTGTGAAAATGTAGGGATAATTTGGAGGAGTGTGGGAGGCAATCCTGTGCTTGTATAGAGCCTAGAGCGCCTTGGCCAGGCTGCCTGGTGGTCGTAAACAGCTTTCAGGGCTTTGGAAGTATGGTACGAAGGAATCCTCTCTGCCACAAAAGCACGTTTGTTGTCGATTCAGTTAGCCCCCAAGACGTGGATATTATCGCCACAACTGCCACAACTCATCACGAACACATTCAATTGCTTTTAAAGACCTGTTTATTATACTGGGATACAATGGTATCGTAACTGCACTAGCAAGAGGCTATTGCAACTGTGCCCCCTGCTGACTGCAACCCTACACTCCACCTACGCAGTTAAATCCGTCGTGTGGCACCCCCATTGTGTCCCATTCAAGAGTATAATGGTGGGAGTAAGTGAAGAGCAGGCATGAATGGGGCAGGCATGAGGGAGAGGACACGAAAGTTAATTGAAACCGCTGTTGTAGGATGCGCGGGCAGTAGGACGAGGCATAGGCCCACCAGGCCTACTGATGCACCAACCTGCCATGAAGGGAATGGGGCAACAAGAGATGTAGGGTGACGACAAGGCAGGGAAATGAACTTGGGGATGTTGCGGGGAGAGGGCATGGCACTGCTAGGAGCAGCTGCGGGTAAATAGAGGGAGGGCAGGGTAAGAGAACTGTCAAGAGGGGAAGGTAAAAAGATGGAATGGAAAAACGTAGTGTGTGTGGCACCTCTCTGCTGCCACCATTAAGCAAACACCAAGGAGGGGGAGATGGGACAGCGAGGGAGAAAGGGGGGGAGTAGGGGGTTAAGGGGGGGAGAGTGGAGAGAAAACTATATGGCCCAAACACAAAGGGAGTGGGGTATGGGCTGGGGAGGCGGATGGGTGACAGCATGTCAGGCGGTCGGGGTGCAGGTGACGTGGGAGGGAGGGAGAGGTGGTGCCTGTAGGTATGATGGCTATAGTGCCGCTGCTTGGCTGGGATGGGGGGGAGCAGATGGGAGCGTGAGAGATTGCGATCAGAGGAGGAGGAGGACCTCCAACGGGGAAGCACATTTCGTTTCTGCACAGAGTGCATGCCAAGAAGGGACGCAAGTGCAGACAGGAGATACGAGATCGATTGGACGCAAGTGCAGTCAGGAGGGAGGGGAAGCAGGAGAATTAGGTGCATGCAAGGAGGGTTGCGCGAGCCAATAGGATCGGGGAAAACAAACGGAGAAGGGCACAGGTTGCTGCAGCATATTTTTACTTAAATGCCACGCAAGACTCTGCCACGCGGCCACCAGACAAACGGCTCAGGCTGGATCTGGTCGGGCAGGCAGGGGGACTGATAGAGTTGGTACACACACCTTCATGGCCACCCAGGAGGGTGGTCAGGTCTCTGTGACTCTTCACCCTCTCTCCCACCCTCTCTCCCACCCACCCACCCACCCACCCACCCACCATGGTCATGCCATGAACACTGGTTTAGGTGCACGTGCATGCTTTGGTTTGGAGAGGTGTGTAAGCACCCAGAAAAGGCATGTGCAATTTGACGAATCCACACCCCTTATCCCTGGCCAGAGCAGGGACCCCGCTGTCAGCCCATACAGGCCCAAGTTTGACTCGGTCCAACCGAGCCGGCCCAAGCCATGCGGGATAGCCTGGGTAAAATATTGTAGAAGCATGTCCCGATGTGAGCCATCGATGCACGGCATAATCCTAACAAGCACCCACAAGACCCAAGCCATGCAGTGCAGGCCCAATTTGAGGGCTAGAACATTGAAACTGGAGTGCAATCAGGAGCACCAGCTCGAGCTTACTGGTATCGGCCTCCCCACTCTGGCTATTCTGCTTCTTTCCTAACAGCTTGGGATGAACTACATCAACCAAGGGTTGGCCGGGTCCCAGGACTGGTCAGTTGGGGTCCAGCAGCCCGACTCAGTGTCTGGCCTCACCCGGTTCGACCTAGGCAGGTTCAGAATTGAGTGACCTGAAAGTGACCTGAGTCTGACCTGAAAGTGACCTGAGTCTGACCTGAAAGTGACCTGAGACTGACTTGAAAGTGACCTGAGACTGACTTGAAAGTGACCTGAGACTGACCTGAAATTGAACTGAGAGTGACCTAGAAATGACCTGAGACTGACCTGAGACCGACCTGAGATCGGCCTGAGACCGACCCGAGACTGAACTGCTTGTGACCTGCGGTGGTAGTCGGTGAGCCGTAGCAGAGAACTAGCGCACGGGGAAGGGAGGCGATAGTGCCGTGGTAGTCAGTGCACCCGTGCCCTGGGAGTGAGCGTCTGTGCTGGAGGAAGGGTGCGGGAAAGGGGAGGGAGGGGGAGAGGGAGGGGGTATAGGGAGTGGAGAGGAGAGTGCGCTGGTGCAAGAGCAGTGTGGTAGAGGAGTGTAGGAGCCACGACTGTACGAGAAGTGGCAGGAGACAGTGCGTGGTGTGGGTGCAGTGAGTGCAGTCGGATTGAAGTCAACTGGGAAGCGCGGAGCTGGGGGTGGTGTGGGGGAGTAGGGAGTTGGGAGAGGGAGGGAGCAGGGAAGGACAGAAAGGAGTGACAGTCAGCAAGTGGGAGGCAGGCAGGCAGGCGACCAGTGGGCATGTAGGAGACGCAGGTGCACAGCTGGCGGGGCAACCATTATGCTTCCGGCAGCGGCGCCGCTGGCAGTGGTGCAGTGGCGGGTGTGAGGCATTATCCCGGCGAGGAGCGGCGTGGACATCGGGCGGCTGGACACCCATGCTGTGTGATGCCCACAATCGCACGCACATGGCAGGCCCAGCCATTCCAACGGAACTGCGTGCGATTGACGGGGACGGGTCGCGAGACCAGTCCGGCAGAGCCTAACGTTGCGGTTGGAGTTTGGGGCACGGGGAGGGGTAGCGGAGGGTGAATGAGAAGAGAAAAGGGAAGGAGAGGGAGCATGGTACACAATCATGGGTACGGGGAACGGGCGTGGGTACAGGGAGGGGGAGCGATCAGGGGAGGGATAGGGGGGGTAAGGGACGGGGAAGGGATGGGACAAGGGAAGAAGGAGAGGGGGAGGAGGTACAGGGAAGGGCAGGGGGTAAAGGGTAAAGAAAGGGGTAACGGAGGGGGGGGTGGGGAGGTGGTTAAAGGAGGGGGGGTGGTAAAAGGGGAGTAAGGTTAGGAGAGGGGGTAATAGGAGGGTTTGAGATGGTCCTCAGGTGGTGCCTGGCAAGCAGTGCTTGCTGTGCGAGTGGGTATGACAAGCAAGCATGCGCGGAGTGGAACTGGAGGGGAAGAGGATGGAAGAAAGAGTGGGGAATGGTGGGAAGGAAGACTTGGAAGGTGTTTTTGCACACAGCCTTTTGCACATCGTCTCTCACACACATCAGCTTCATTTCCCAGAACCTCCTTCCTTCTCCCCTCATTCCTTCAACTCCCCTTCCTTCTCCCTCTCTTCCTTCAACCCCGCTTCCTCCACTGCCCCTTCGCCCCCCGTTCACCACCTCACAGTGAGCACATAGTCTCACCTCACCACCATCCTCCCGTTCATCCACTATGTCTTTTGAGTGAATTTCACACGCATCTCAACCCCTCATAGCGTCTCACCATGGCGAGTTCGAGCTTGTCGATTGCCCTCAGCCCATCAGCAGCCCCCCCTTCACCGCCCCCTCGCCTTCCTTCCGGCTCTCCATAGACAGCATGATCCATCAGTTTTTGCGGAATCCATGGCTTCCCTATCGGTCGTCGGGTCGCCACTAATAGCAGAAGACCCATCCTTCTCCACCTTTCGCTCGCACGGCTCCGTCCCTCGATGGAGGCCACTTGGGTGAGGACTCTGCCTCTCCGTTCGGCACGCTGCACGCGATGTGGCGGAGAGGCATGGGTGCTGTCAGTCAAGCCACAGCCGCGCTCAGGATTACCTGCGGATGCGCGAACAGGACGAATAGGGATTGTCACATGCAACCAGAAAACAAGACAGGCCACAATCTGTAATGGAGGCTAATAAAATGGACTTCAGGCAGCTAAAAACAATAGGTGGGTCACTCCCACTATGACGTCAAACATTTACTAGGAGCTGGAGGCTTGCGCATCTCACTTGAGGATGCGAGGCAAGTCGGGGCCGCTGATCTAGGACTGGGGAAGAGCCGCCATGGCGTCACAAGTAAAGAATAGATGGCTTATGAGTGTATTCGAAGTGTGGTGGACAATCTGGCGACGTGTAGTGATCTCATACCATGTGACACTCTCTACTCTTATAAGCTGAAAAAACTTCTAGGGCCAATTGTCACTAACCATATGTCCACACCCGTTGCCCATCCACACCCACTGCCCATCCACACCCACTGCCTAGCTCCTGTTTGGGAACATTTCAAAACTTGTCTCACCTGCCAAGCTCCACGACTCTATTGCCGGCGGTGGTGTGATCTGCCTCATACGGCTTGAGTGCATTCATGCTGTGCTTGGTGCTGCCGTCATTTGAAGGGATGGGCCGACATGACCACGATTCGAAGAGAGGGGGAGGGAAGGCAAAGGCGTTGAAGAGGAAGTTGCGAGGGAGGTTGTTAGGGTTTTGAAGGAGCTTTGAAGTAGGATCAAAAGATTTTGTAGGAGGTTCAAAGGCAGTTTTAAGGAGGCTTAAGAGAAGGTTTGTAGAAGGCTGAGTTCATCACATGCGAGATAGAGTCGTGAAGTGAGACAGTGTATTTATGTGAAACACGGCTAAGCAGGAACATGAGTCCAAGCAGGATCTAATATGCGAGAGAGAGGGCACAAGAGCGAAGAGGCTGAGTTTAAATATATAGAAGGGTGGGGCGTGCACAGAACAACGAGAGGTGAAAATCCGTTTTGTTTTAAGGTCAGCTAAGGAGCAGCTGGTTCCGGCTTTTTCCAACAAGTCACGTGCTGTGTCATTCTTTTCTCACCCTTACACTGGTATTGTTCCCTAATAGCAAGCAGCTCGCCCCTGCCCTCCTTCTCTCACAATGATACAAGTGCTCTGCGCTAGCAGCAATAGTAAGGTTTTAAAAATGTTATAAATTAAATTGCAAGGATTCAACCTTCTTAATGTTTTTTTTTTAAGAGGTTGAATCCAATACACCAGGCGAAAGACCATCTTCGCCAACCGAATCGGATCATGCATGAAACGCAGAGTAGTGAAGCGAAAAAAATGTCAGAACCTACGAGCCAGAACATGAGTCGGGCAGATTTTAATTTGCGAAGGGGAACGCAAGGAAGAGGTCATGTGTGGTCATGCGTGTATGTATATCGAAAGTGAGGCATGCACACAGCAACGAGCGATGAGAATCTGTTCTTCTCCAAGTCACCTCAGGAGCTATTGGTTGCAGCTAAGCTACTACTTACTTCTCACCCAGTGCGTCACGTTTCTCTCACCGTTATACTGGTGCGCAACTGAGTCGTGCCCTGCCCGAGACACGAGCACAGGGGCGAATTGAGTCTCTTCGAGCAGCAGGCACCCTCCCCCACATCCCCCATCCATCCCGACATTTACACCGGTGCTCTGCCCTAACCGGAACTAAATCTCGCCGTCCCCCTCTCCCACTTCCCCACCCCCTCTTTCTCCCCCCGTCCTTCTTCCATCTCTCACCGTGACACAAAGAATGGCCTGATAACGACTTGCACAGCCCCCCATGTGGACGAGAGGAAGCCGACCTGTACAGGGGACACGCGGATAGAGGGTTCAGAGGCAGCACTAGCACACCAGGAACCGGAGGAGAGGAGTAGAGAGCAGGGGCGCAGGTTGAGGGGCAGGGGTGCGGGGGAGAAGGGAAGGGTCAGGCGAAGGGGCTCGGGGAGGGCAGCGAGAAGGGGCAGGGGGGGGGGACGCATGATGAGGGGCAGGGAGGCGGGGCAATGGGACATAAGCAAAGGAGAGGCGCAATGGGAAGGGGCAAGGGTGGGATAAGGAGGGGACAGGGGGAAGGGGAAATGAGAAGGGGCATGTGAGAGGGACAGGGGGAGGTGCAGATGGGAGGGGCAAAGGGAAGGGGTAAGGGGAAGGGGCAAAAGGGAGGGGGAAAGGCAAGGGGAAAGAGGAAGGGGCAAAGGGGAGGGGCACAGGGGAGGGGCAAAGGGGAGGGGCAAAGGGGAAGGGCAAAGGGGAGGGGCAAAGGGGAGGGGCAAAGGGAAGGAGCAAAGGGAAGGGGCAAACGGGAGGGGCAAAGCGAAAGGGGCAAGGGGAAAGGGCATACCTAGCTCCTTAATGAGCGACGTAACGAGCGGCATGGCCATGCCCGCTGCACACATGTCCAGGAACACGACGACCAATATCACCACGCCACGTGGAACGCCCTTCTCTGCACCTGCAGCTAGTGGTGTCCCCTCCCTTATCCGCGCAATACTTCCTCCCCCCGTCACAATCTCCTGCCCGTCCCTGTAGTCGCTACTACTGCGCGTCCCGTCGTAGGCTCCTGTCTCCAAAAGGCCGTCCACCTGTCTGCGCGGAGTGTCAATGCTGTGCTGTATGTACATCACTATCCGCGATATTGCTTCATCATCGCCGCGCCGCTACACACGTCTGCCGCCACTGGGGAGTCCTCTCCCGCAGCTCCTCCACCAATCTTCCCCTCGGAGCCCTCTGCCTCCCGCCATCTCTCTGCCAGTAACCCCTCCCCTTCCGCTTCCGCTTCTTCCACCCGCGGCGTTCGCGCTCCCCGCTTGAATCACACAGGTGTCATCCGATGCGTCTCCTACCCAACGACAATTTCCCCGCTATAAGCTGATCGATTAAACGAATAGGACTGTGGCTGGCTGGGGTCAAGCACACGATCTCGCCATTGCTGGAAGCGCTACATGGAGGACTGATTACGCTTACTACGGACTGTATGCTCCTGCCTAAAGCGGCTTGCTGCTGACAGAAAGCGGCTTGAGTAGCTCTGTTAATCTCAAGCTTCAGGAGGGAGCTATTGCTATCCCAAGACATTTGTGACACGAAGGGAAACAGTGATTAACTTGAGATGGCAATGACACGCACACACAAGTGACATTGAATGCAATAAACAGCATAACAGGAACAATCAGGGGTAGGAAGACTGGCAAGTCAGCTCGTGTCCCCCTGATGCCTTGCCAGCATTCCTGCCCCTGATGCTTTCACCTGTTCTAGCTACTCCCCACGAATCTAAGCAAATCTAACCTGACACACACGGCTGAGAAGCCCTCAAGACAATCACAACCACGACTGGACCAGCCATCAGCTCAGCTGCAACAGCAGCAACCTGCATGCGCTTGTTCATCATGAACCTAGCTGACACCACAACCATCCTCGCAAAACTGATGCAACAAGCAGCATTTCAACCTGCATCAGCCTGGGTTTACACCCCTCAACCTTGTCAGCCACAGAGAAATCAAGCAGCAGCAGCAGCAGCAGCAGCAGCAGCACGGCAGGGATGCATTAAACAGCAGTGACGGGCATCTTGGCGCCCATGAGCTGCCCGCCCCACGTCACACCTGCTGCGCTGCTACCCGCCAGCACAGCATACCCGCTCACCGTGCTGTTCACTCCGCCATCGCCACCTGGAAATCCACCTGGAAAGCCACCTGCAGGCGGCTTCTGCGCTCCCCCCTGCTGCTGCTGCCCCCCCTGCTTCTGTCCCCCCTGCCTATCAGTGCGGCCGAATGCACGCTTCAGCAGCTCCCGCCCCATGCGCCTCCCGCCCTGCCCGTTCCGCGTGCCCCCCGCGCTGCCTCCGCCAGCGTTGCCTCCGCCGTTGCGCCCGCCGCCGCTGGTGGGCGGAGGCGAGGCGGTCGGGAGCACGGCGAGCAGCGCGTCGAGGGTGGCGGCGTCCGCGTTCTCGAGGAACGCGTCGAGGCGCGCCTCCGCGCGCAGCAGCCACCACCCCGCGCGCTGCTGCCAGTCCGGCGCGGCGAGCGGCAGCGCGAGGATGCTCGTCGCGGCGGCGTCGCACACGGCGCCCTTCACGATCGCCAGCGAGTCGGGGGGACTGCCTGCCGCGTCCACCAGGAGGGCCTCGACGAGCAGATTGTAATTGCTGGTGGCGTTTCTGAGAGAGGGCGCGAAGATAAAGGGGCAGGTGAGGGAAAGCGGGGACTGAGGATGAGGGGAACACGCAATGAGTGCGCGACGATCCAAAGATTCGGCACAAGCGAAACTCTAGCGACTGGAAACGAAATGGGGAAGCGCACAACAGATTAGGGTTTCCTGGCGATGCTATGCGACAGAAAGCCTTTCTGAGGAAGGCAGCGAGGCCTACTTGAAGATGGCGAGGTGGAATCGGCCGTCAAGGATCTTTTGATCCGCGGAGCAATTGGCGAGTCGCGCGCCGACATCGGCCGTCAGATTCCCGACGGCCGTCAGATTCAGCGGAGGACCGTGCGGCGGCTTTTCGCCGGGTCCGCCGGAACCGCCGGGACAAGCGCCAGGGCCTCCGCGTGCGCGCCCCCTGGTCCCTGAGCGCCGGGAGGACCTCCGCCAGGCGGACCACGCTGCGCCAAGGCGGACGTCGACACGAGGAGGAGGACGCACGAGAGGACGAGCGCTCTGAATTCCATGGTTGAGAGACGGTCTTCGATGTACTAAACGCTCTGGTTTGGAGCCTGGAGTTAGGGTGAAGGAAGTCGATGAATTAGAAGCTGGTGGTGAGTGTTATGGATGTTAGGAGAGTCAATGGCTACTTATAGGCGGCGAGTCAAAAGCGGGAGCTAATAATCTGGTGGCTTGAGGGACGCGACGCGAGTCAAAGCCTCTAACGCCTGGGCTCCTGGCTTGGGAAACTACAAAGTCGAGGTTTGACTGGGTAATCGCAGACGTTGGTAATAAACCATATCTGTGGAGGTTGGCTTTTAGTCAAATGTGCGACCTACCAAGCGTTGAAAATGTGCGACGTCTTTCAACGCGTCAGTCAGCGCGAACGGAAGGCCAGGCAAGCGGACACAACCATATTGATTGGTGCAGTTTTGGATACAGTAATATTTTTACCATCAAAGGTACATTTAACTGCAATACTAAGATTAGTTACCATCTCAAGGATAGCTGTGCATCAGTTGCACTTCTTAAACTAATAATTTTCGAATAAAATGAACGTTTGGGGAACGAGCTAGGGCCTACAACCTACTCAGTTCCTTCCAAGTTCAGAGTGGCGGTGCGTTTCAGTTTAGACTCAGTGACCCCAGTACAGTAGGCAGTGCGGAGATAACTACTACAACGGGAGCTAGACTACGGGCTAGGCACGGGTGCTCGTGTGATCTCTGCGTTCTTTGGTCCTTAGTCGTTTTCCTAGTGCACACACTGCTTGCTAGTTCATGGGGCAAGTTGGCAAGAGTTTCACTAGAGAAAGGTGACAACAATGGTACAAAGAAGTTGGCATGGCAAGAATACATCAGAGCTAGCATTCAGGTCGGTCGACTGCCAGCGCAGCACGGTCGACCGCGTTCCAGCACGACTTGGTCGACCGCGCTCCAGCAGTGCAAAGTCGGCGGCGTGCCAATGCTGCAGGTTGACGGCGTGCCAGCGTTGCTCCCGCAGAACAGCGATGCACTTACTTCGCAGGTGCGCGCAGATGATTGGCGGGCTAAGCCTCGTCATCTGCACAACGCACACACCAGGTCATCCTCGTGCTGATGACTCCAGCTGATCTGCCACGTCGACCTCGGGATACCACCAACGAGGTCAGTCTCGCAAACATCGCCTGGGCGACCGTCGCACTCTTCCGCAGAACCTCGTCACCCAGGTAACCTGGTCGACCAGCTGCTCCTGTATGTGCCCGTCGACCTCCCAAGTCGACGACCACCCCAAGTCGACCTCACCAGGTCGACCACACCCCTGGTCGACCAGCTCCAGGTCGACCTCACTCCTGGTCGACCAGCTCCACGTCGACCAGCACTCCTGGTCGACCAGCTCCACGTCGACCAGCACTCCTGGTCGACAAGCTCCATGTCAACCAGTGCAGCTGTCAGCCGACCACCCAAGTCGGCTACCCGAAGTCGGCGTCACCAAGTTGACGCCCAGCTACTCGACGCCCTGCTGCTCGGCGTCCTGAGTCGAGGTCGACGTCGGCCCCTCCTCCGTCGACCACCAGGTCTGGTCGACCACCAGGTCGACATCATGCCTGGTCGACCACCACCAAGTCGACCAGCAGGCCTGGTCGACCAACCACCAGGTCGACCAGCAGTCCTGTCAGCCGACCACCCAAGTCGGCTGCCCCCAAGTTGGCGCCCTCCGCTGGTCGACCTCCCAGGTCGACCTCCCTGAAGTTGGCGCCACCCTGAAGTCGGTGCCCGTGCAATGGCTCCCGTGCAGGTCGACTTCCTTGTCAACCAACTCGCCCACTGCAGCAGGTCGGCTGCTCCCCTCACACCCGACCACGAAGTCGGCTCCGCCCAAGTGAGGACGGGGCCAGCACACAACTCCCGTTGACAGGCAGCATATCAATTCTCCTTTTGACCTCGTTGACGGATCCCTGTATTAGGATTCCGACAGACAGGATAGGAGTGCAGAGCTAGGACTATCTACACATAAGTGAGACGTGCAGAACTGTGTACTCGATGGTCGTCAAGTCACTATTATGTCAATCGTCTTGTGTTACCGGCATCTTGGCCATTCTCGTACGGTTAATGAGATGAACAGCAGAGGCATGCGACACATAAGCCCCCAGCTGAAACTTTGCCACCCTGTTGGGGCAAAGTCGATAGGAGGAAGGTGGGGAGGCCGAAAAGGAATCGCGCACAAACAAGTGAAGGGGAAACGGAAAGGGGGGAGGGAAAGCGGGGTGGCACAGCAGGCACGAGACGGCCATAACACCTAAGGCTCATGCGGGTTTATCATCAAGCTGTTGCTCATGCCTCATGCAGGTAAGGGAGTTGGGCACATGAGGGGGCAGGGCAAACAGTGACCTGCCAAAGCTGTTTCACACCAACCATTGCAGCGAGGACCTTAGCTAATGCAAGGGCATGGTGGGAATAAGATGGGATGATGGGCGATGGGGTAAAGGGGTGATGGGGTGGTGGGATCATGGGGTAATGGGATGAAGGGGTGGTGAAATCAAGGGACAGTGAGATCAAGGGACTGTCTCCTCCGCATTAAGTGGACAAACGAGACAACGGGGTGCCAATGGCAGTGGTGTCGCACCAGGCGACACATGAGAGCACAGACCTGATTTGGTAGAGGTGGGTTCGATACAAGGCACTACTGACCTCAGTGTCGATACGAGTGATCGTTGATCATGTGTCAGTGTAGAGACGGCAGGGGAAGAATGCTACTGGATGAATGAAGTATGCAAACCTGGTGGTTGATTAGGGGCAACGGTGACCAGAGGGAGAAGGAGAGAAGAGGGAGGCGGATTGGATCAGAGTGATGGACGCTGCTGGCTGCACTGTGTACACCCTGGGAAGGGAGGGGGGGTGGCAATCGGGGGACGGGGAAGGAAGAGGACGCTGAAGTGGAAGGGGATGGGGAAGGGATGGGGAAGGGGATGGAAATAGAGAAAGTGGGGGAATGGGAACGTATAGGGAGAAAGGAATTTGGGGACAATGATGGAGAGTGGTGGATGCACAGGTGATCAGAAGATGGGGGACCAATGGGAGGGGCCGGTGAGGTGGGTGACAAAAAGAGGCAGTGAGTGATGGGAGAGGGGGTGGGTGGGTGTGAGACCTGAAACCGACCTGAGAATGACCTGAAACCGACTTGAGGCTGACCTGAAACTGACCCGATACTGACCTGAAACCGACGTGAGACTGACCTGAAACCGACCTGAAACTGACCTGAAACTGTCCTGAAACCGAACTGAAAGTGTACGACCTGAGACTGACCTGACACTAACTTGATACTGATTTGAAACCGACCTGAGACTGGCCTGAGACTGACCTGAAACCGACCTGAGACTGACCTGAAACCGACCTGAAACCGACCTGAAACTGTCCTGAAACCCACCTGAAAGTGTCCTAAAACCGACCTGAGACTGACCTGACACTAACTTGGGACTGATTTGAAACCGACCTGAGATTGACCTGGGACTGACCTGAAAGTGACCTGAGACTGACCTGAGACTGACCTGAAACCGACCTGAAACTGATTCGAAACTATCCTGAAACCGACCTGAAAGTGTCCTGAAACCGACCTGAGACTGACCTGACATTAACTTGAGACTGATTTGAAACCGACCTCAGATTGACCTGAGACTGACCTACCATTGATCATCCCTCTTTGTGACCCACAGGTTGCACAGGTAGTCAGTGCATCCGTGCCGTTCCGGAGAGGCAGGGCATATGGAAGGGAGGTCATAGTGCCTTGGTAGTCAGTGCACTCGCGCTCTGGTCTGGGTGGGGGGCAAGCATCCGTGCTGGGGTGGAGGACGGGTCACGGGGGGAAGGGGAGGAAGGGGGAGAGGGAGAGGGTGTGGGGAGGGGAGTGGAGAGTGCGTTGGTGCAGGAGCAGTGTAGCCATGACCGTAAGAGAATCGACAGGATTCATGCAGTGAGTGCAATGGGGCAAGCAGAAGCCAGGTGGGAGTAACAGGTCAGGTGCAATAGGGAGAGGAGGGGAGCAGGGAAGGAAGGAAGGGAGCAACGGCATGGTGGAAGGCAGGCAGGCGGACGACAAGGGGGGGTGTAGGAGACGGCGCACAGCTGGGGAGCAATCATTACACTTCCAGCAGCAGCGCCGCTGTCACTGGTGCAGCGGGCGGGGTGAGGCATTACTCCAGTACGGCACGGTGCGGTGCGGTGATAGTCCGGCTTGAGAGACCCGTGCCGTGCTGATGCCCACACTCTCCACTCCAATCGCCCGCGTGATTGGATAGGGATGAGTCGCGAGACGGGTCACGGCACAGCCTGGCGTTGGGTTAGGGGACTGGGGTCAGGGGAGGGGTGGTACTGGTAAGGGAGAGGGTAAAGTGGAGAAGGAGTGCGTAGGGAGAAAGGGAGGGGGTCGGTCAGGGCAGGGGAAAGGGGTAAGGGAAGGGGAAAGGAGTAATGGGAGGGGGAGGAGGTAAGGGGAAGGGGTAGAGTGGGTAAGGAGCGGGGGTGAGAGGGTTAAGGAGGGGGAGAAGGTAAGGGAAAGGGGACTGCGTCATGAGCGGGTAAGGGAAAAGAAGAGGGGATAAGGGGAGGGTGCGAGTGGGTGTTTGAAGCAAGCAGGAGGAGAACAGCCAGGGAACGGACAGGGATGAGGGGAGGAGTGGGAAGAGGGAATGGGGTTTGGATGGGAACGGATGACTTGGACATGGGTGGGAGGGGAGAGGTGCAGTGTGTTTGGTCGGATCCTCTAAATCTCCGCTTGGTGTACCCCCCCCCCCCTTCATTGGCCTCTCACAGTCATTTGAGCGAATCTCACACATGGACTCAACATACAGCCTCACACACACCGCCTCTCACATCGCCCTCCATCTCATCCTTCCCTTTTCCTTCAACACCTTTTCAACACTCCCTCTCCTGAGTGAGTTACACACGAATATCCACCACTCAGATCGTCTCACCTTGCAACTTCCAAGTTGTCAAAACACCCGCCAGCCCCATCAGCAGTCCCCCCTTCACCGCCCCTCGCCCTCCTTCCCGCTCTCCCTGCAGCCACCACTGCTGCCGCCAACGCCGCATGCACTGCTTCGAAAATTCTGCGCCCAACTCGACGCCTGCCGCAGTGCCTCTGGCCTCCACCGCTCCTTCTCTCTCTCCGTCTCTTCATCCCTATCCCTCTCCTCTTGTGCTTGCACAAGGACGCCGCCAGCATCGCTTAATCTGGTTGTGATTTGTGCAGAGCCTGCGGCTTCACTATCGGTCGCACCACAAGCCCGTCCCACGCCTGCACTCTTGCGCTCCGCCTCCTCGTCGTGAAGCCATCTCTCAGTTACACAAAGACATACAGTATCTTACGGCACTACTGTTGCCATAGCTGCTCCACTAGCTGTTGTGTGGTCCACACGGGAGGAACGACAGTAAACATTTACTTCTTCCATTGCTGCTTCTTGCCCTGTTCTGAACCCTGATGAGGTCCTTTATTGATGACTCGTGGGACCTTTCAGAGGGCATAGGCAGAGAGGTATGCTGATATCAGCTCAATTTCAACAGTTTGACCCCACCTCAAACTGCTCGTCTGTACCCCAAAGAAACTGCTGCAAGCACACTGTTCTCCTTGCCGCCTCCATATTCACAAGCTGCTTCTCTTTGACAGCTCTCCCTCCTGGCTCGTCACTTCCTAGAAAACCCCCAAGTAACAGTCAATCCTCCTCTTTGCACTGCTGCTCTTGCCTGTCACCCGTTCCTTCACTCTTCTTTCTTCCGCTCCGCATTCAATCCTCTCTCCCCAGATCTTGTCAAAATATCCTTCCTGCCTCCAACACTCGTCCGACTGGACATCTCGTGTGCCACAACCTCATAGCCCATTCTCACCAGCAAGCAGGCCAACGGCAATCGCAAGGGCCATGTTGGGGAAGAGGAGGGAGAGGGAGAGGAGGAAGAAGGCGAAGAGGGCTGCAGAGAGCATGGCAGCGCCCATCCTGGGGGGAGAGATGTTGGAAAAGAGGAGAGAATACAAGAGAGACGATATCAAGTGCGTAACGATACAAAAGAACGAGTGACATTGGATTGATGAGAGAGAGCGTGGGCTATGGGAATGGAGGAACTTTTCAGACCCAAAAAAATGGTAGCAGTGGAGCCTTGCTAAATTTCACTACCAAGCCTCCTGCCAAGCCTCTCACCTGCCGAACCTCTCTTGCAGGACCGTGAGCAGCAGCCCTCGGAACAGAAGCTGGCGACACCGCCACCCACAGGAACAGCTGTAGCAGGTCCAGCAGGGGGAGGGTCGCGGTATCTGTCGCAGCGGCAGCTGTAGCAGAGGCAGCTGTAGCAGCCACACCTCCTCAGTCACATCCGGCAGCAACAAAGGACCTAGCAACAAGGCTGTAGCACTCACACCGCCCCCCCCTCCTCCTCCTATTTCTGCTGCTGGTTCTGCTATTGCCCATGCCGCCTCCCCTCCAGCACCTGTTTTAAGAGAAATTAGAGAGAACAGCAGAGCCCATGGAACAGGGCCCCCTACTGCCCCTGCCACAAACAATCGCCTTCCATTAGCTATCCTCCCCCCCCGCTAACACTCCCCTCTCACCGTCCCCATCCCCCCCACAGTGGTTGATGCAATGGTGATTTCTGAAGAAAGGGGCTAATGAGGAGAGACACACGCAGACATCACGCATTGGCACAGACCCTCACACTCAGACATGGGCTCCGAGGCCCAGACACACTGGAAGCCGAAGTAGCCTATCAGCAGCAGCCCTACAGTTTGACCCCAAACTTCTTCTCAAACAGCTTGTCTGAACAGTGGAGAAACTGTTGCAAGCACACCATTCCACTTGCTTCCTTCAGCTTCACAAGCTGCTGCTCTGTAGCAGCTCTCCCCTCTGGCTCGTCATTCCCTAGGACATCCCCAAGTAACGGTCCACTACCTGATCTTGCCTGTCACCCATTCTTTCACTCTTGGTTTCTTCCGCTCCCCAATCAACTCCCTCCACTTTGCTAGACACAGAACGCAGCGTGCTCCTCTCTTTCCCGGCAGCAATCAAAACATCCCTCTTGCCTCCACTTGTCCGACAAACCATCGCATGTGGTACAACTACATACCCCAATCGCACCAGTGCCACATGTCGCGGTCTGATTCGCCGATCCAAACTGTACCCAAGAAAGGAAGGGTAGGCAAGCACCTCCATTATAGAGAGCCCCATGTCCCGTTTTAAGTACTCCACCTTGGGTTTCAAGTTCCATTTCCAGCTGCAGGGGATAAACGATGGGTACTTCACAGCCAAATCCACCACCAACCGACGGCCCCTGCATCTCTCAACACTCAGTGATGAGTAAACTGCTTCGGAATCATTATCTCCACTGCTCTCCCATGCCTCTTCCACTTCTCGCTCAAGCTCTCTAAAACATTCCCTCATGCCATCTTCACTAGAGTTCATTAGTGTAGGAAATTGTGCCACCGCCCGCACAGCATTCTCTTGGCCAATCAAATCAGCCAGTACCGCCATTTTGCCTTGCACGTTCCCCTTCGATAGCTTCAGAACCTGCGGGAAACTCCTTGCTAGTCTTCCTGCTGCCTCCTCCCCCACCAGCTCCACAAAGAACTGGAGCTTAGCTAAAAGAGTTTCTTTGCTAAGATTGAAGATAGTGGGGGCCCGCCAAAGCACAGCGGCCGCAATAGAGGGGGTGTCTGGGGAAGTGAAGGACCGTGGTCGTCCAGTTGCTGCTTCGAGAGGCTTGTCCTGATGCTACCTGCTTCTAACTTCCCTCCAGGTTTCGCTTTAAAATAAAGTGATAATGTCTCAAGCTGTGTATTCACCACCTCTGTGCTCCGAGTCAAGACGTCCGGACATTTTTCTATAATCACACCCAGCTTGTCCACAGGAACCCCTGCCTTCTCCACCAGAATGTCCAGGTTCGCTGAACGTGCCTCACGGCAGAGTAAGTTGCGTCCACGTCGGAGCACGAGGCCCAATCGGCTACGACGAACGCCTTTAGCTAAAAGAAGCTCAAGCGTGTTCTGAATCTGTTGCAGGGAGGAGCGGAGCCAGGCTGGTTTACTCAAAGTCATGTGCGCGATGTCAGCATCGGAAATGCCGTATGACTGGAGGAGACTGACACGTGGCAGAAAGTCATTGGTGGGATTGGAGCGGAGGAGTTGGGGGTTGGAGGCGAGAAGGGAAGCGACAGTGGAAGCGGAGGAGATGCCGAGGTGGGAGGAGAAAAAACGGTAGAAGGAGAGGAGGGAGGAGGGAGATACGACTCGCCGGCTGTTGAGTGGAGGAGGAGGAGGTGTGGGAAATGTGGTTGCTGATCCGTCCTCCTCACTCGCTTCTGCACACCCCTCCGCCTCCTCATCTTCCTCCTCCTCCTCTTCTTCCTCCTCCTCTCCTTCCTCCTCCTTCTCTCCCTCCTCCTCTTTCAATCTCTGCACCCCCTTTTCATCCTCGCTGCTTCTTATCCCACACCCCCACTCCTCCACCTCCTCTCTCACGATCTGAGGCCCGAATTTCTCCCTCAGCACTCCAGCAATCACTGCCACTGCCTCCTCCTCCTCCTTAAAGCCTCCCGTCCCGTAGCTCTTCCTCTTGCCTCCCTCACTGTTACCCGCTCCATTCCCCTCTGCATTCCCCGCAGCATTCCCCGCAGCATTCCCCGCTGCATTCCCCGCCACGACCCTCTCAACCCTCTCATCCCCACCCCCCTTTTCTCCCCCTTCCACTTTCCTGATGCTCCTCTGTCCTCTTCCCTTATCCCCCCTCTCCTCATCCTTCACTGTACGCGTTTTAAGCTCCGCTGGTACCGCTATTAGAGGCTTGCTTCCAGGAAGTGATTTCGGCCCGAAGATTGCAGTCTCCGCCTCGGAAGCTTCTGCGTCTGCTGGCCTGGACGACGCACCAGTGACGGACCATGCCGGAAAGCTTCGGACGTGGAATGAGAAGGTATTTTTGGGCGCCTCGACGCTTCGGCATGGGTTTTGGATTTGAAAAGACGCGTTTCGCGCAGGGTCGTTTAGATTTGATCCGATCCGATAGAGGCTTGTCAAGGAAGAAACATAAGGTCGCGATGCGACTCGGTGTGCTTGAGGTATCTCATGGGCAATAAAACTGGAAACTGAACCGACAAATGGCCGTGACATATGAGGTAGGACTAGCCATAGCGACCGGCGGGCTGATCTACGCGACGACGTAAACGTTCATGAATTCCTCCCCGTTGCTTACGTCGATCTTGTTGAACTCTTCGTGTACTGAATCCTCGCTAACCCTAGCTGGCTAGTGACGCGAAACGTGAAGTTAAATTCGCGTGTACGGATTCGATCATAGAAATCTGAAGACTAACGGGAAACGTTTTCAGTGGATGATTGGTGCCTGGAGCTGCTATTTTAGCTGGCATCTAGCTACTCCATAATGTGCGAACTGCTCTGATTCAGTCTCATGCCTACCGACGGGATAAGCAGTGTGACGACCACAAAGGTCAAGGGGTGCGGCCTGATCAGGTGCTGTACGTTTCCAAAAGGTCATTCATGTATGCAGAGTGGCTGAGCTAGGTGCTAAGGAAATCCCTCTTTCCTTCCTGTGAACGAACCAACATCAATGCTGGGATTTTGTTTGTGTAGTCACTACTCACACGTACGGACCGTTTCTCGTTTTTGGTAACAAGGTGTTACAGCGAACAATGAAATGAACTTCGAGTTCTGGTTTCCTGCCGTTGAGCACTCTAAAGAGCTCAAAATCGCTCACTCTCGAACCGCTACCCCAACGAACCTTTTGCGTACCGTCCAATCGAACCCAGACTGTCGTTTGTGCAGAATTCGCTCCCGGACGTTGAATAGACCCTCAGCCATTCCTAAATTCACCTCACAGAATCCGCTACGCTACCATCCCTCATAGTAGTGCCAGAACCAAGCATTTGCGCAGCGACTCGTTTAGGGACAAGACTACTAGGAGTTACACGCTGCGAGTCGAACCCACATTAACATGCGCCACCAGTGTATAGATCCGTTGACAAGATAATGTTGCCATTCGCACAGCCTCGAAGTCGCCACTTGAAGTGGCGACACGCGACGTTACTACTACTAGTAGGGTTTCTTGCTTAGATTGCGGCGAGAAAACGAGGCCTTCGTTCTGCGACGCACGAATTCCCACTGTGAATTGCGCGGCGAGGAGCGTGATGGCGAGACACGCTCATTCCTTTCTCACGCGAATTTCACGTTCCATCACTCCAGTTTCGCGAATTTCGCGAATTTCATGTTCCTTTGTGAGTGCGCTCTTTGCACTTCCAGGGGTGGATCGCGCCGCCGCATTCGCGAAGGGCGGACACACGGCTGCGTCGTGGCAGCAGGTGGAATGAATGCGCGTTACCCTCTCATATAACGCCTCTTGCCTGACTGCTTCTGAGAGGACGGCGCGCAGGGCATTGTGCCACATCGAGGTTAGAATCCAAGCAAAATGTGGCATCGTTCCCTCATCTCCTCCCTTCATCCATCCGTTGATGCCGCTCTGCCTCTCCCGCCCTCACCGCATGGATCTAGTATGTCGCAGTACCTCACTCCCCCATGCGGATGAGGCTGAATGAAAGTGAGCACAGCTTTCCCGGCGTGTGCAATGCCAACATCAGCTGTCTGCCATTCCCCCCTCCCTGCTCAGCCTCTGCGCTTCCCCCCCTCTCCCCTTCCCACGCCCCCTTTTCCTTTCTACACCACCAGCACCATGGTTAGTTCATCCCCACCACGCACAGACGACAGCGAGGTAGAGCTACGGGCTGCGGAAGCAGCAGGGGTGGCGGTCAAGTCGGTCAGCAGGGAGTGGGTGGAGGCGGCCAGGAGGGAGGCGCGGCCGGGACGAACGAGGCAGCAACTTTTTAGGCTTTGTGCTTTCTCTCGAGGTGTTCTTAACACGTTATCCGAGTCAAACCCGCAATGTCGCCGTGGCGAAGTGTCAAGCCGATGACAAATAGGAGGACGATTTCGCATCCGCAGCAACCGACATTCAACCGCCCATGATGGGTGCGAAGCTGGCGAGCGAGTGAACAAGGTAACTATTACTACCGCGCGATGTAGAGGCTCTTGTTTGCGATAACAAAGCATCCCCAGGATGACTGTCGTCGCCACAGTCGCCAAGAGTGGTGGAATGAACGCCGGCTTCGCAATCAGTCGCATACAGGGCGGCGTTGTGTGAATATGGAGAAGCCGTAACCAGCTTGCATCTAACGCGAGGAATCTGAACCGTGGTTTTCACCCTATCTCCATTCGCCATCCATTGCTGACACGGCTCCCTCCCTCCCTTTGCGCGTTTGTCTATGTTTGCAGATGGATCTGCGCACTGCTTTCTCACTCAGTGCCACCACCAGCCATCAGTAGTTTCTCTCGTCATTTGTCAGTATGATCTTACCTCCGTCGCTCTCTCCCCCTTCACCCCCTTCTTCTGCCCACCCCAACAGCACCTTCCCTTGTGAGAGCCCACTCCATCGCTGCGATAGACAGCCAGGTGGCATGGCAGACCCAGGGGTTGCAGCAGCAGCAGTGGTGGCGGTGGAATGGGGGCAGCATCATGTTCAAGGGAGCTCCAGCACTTCCAGAGCCACGGGCTGCACCATGGTCAGTTCATCCCCACCACGCACAAATGACAGCGAGGTAGAGCTACAGGCTGCAGAAGCAGCAGGGGTGGCGGGGAAGTCGGTCAGCAGGGAGTGGGTGGAGTCGGGCAGGAGGACAGCGCAGCAGGGACGAGCGAGGCAGCACTTTTTTGTCTTTGTGATTTCTCTCAAGGTGTTCCTGATTAGCTATCCTAGTTGAACCCTCATAGTAGTTATGCCATGAGGGTATAGATTCGTTGACGAAATGGGAGGATGATGTCGATGCAGTCGACTAATCGCCCATGATACGAGCAAGCTGGCGAGGTGAACAAGGTGATTGTTACAACCGACGCGATATAGATCGTCGCGTCCTGCTACTAGGAGTGCATCGAAGCACTCGCGGTTACTTGTAAGGGCGCGGTTACCAAAGTCACTCGCCAATGTTGTCGAAGAAGTTCCCGAAGGCTGACTTGGCACCCTGAATTTGTTTCATTGCCTAGTTGGCGAACCCCTTTCCTAGTTGGATTCTGGGTAGTCGGGTTTCTTGTATGTAGATCTCGAGGGTAGTCCAGCTACTTTAGCTGTTACCAGTCTCTCTGTTTCTGAGTTCCGAATTGTGCTGTACTGATGAAGGCGTGATTGGGTTCGCCCATCCGCCGAAACTAGTTTACAGAGGCTTTTCGGAAGCTAAGGATCTGCGTTTTTTTCACAAGTTTTTACTGTTGTTCCTTTGCTTAAGCGTCCTCTCTACTACTGCAGCCCTTTGAAAATATGAGTCAGGGTGACCCTTGGGATGTCGACTAATCGCCCATGATAGGAGCAAGCTGGCGAGGTGAACAAGGTGATTGTTACAACCGACGCGATATAAATAAAAAACCTTTGTTCAGCAACGCAGAAGCGGTCGCTGTGTAGTGGGTATGAGGGCGAAGAATCTCGTCGCCGCCATCGCCATGGGTGGACACGTCACTGCATCATCGCGGCAGGTGGAATGAGTGCGGATGGCTTCTCAGCTGACACGGCGGCGATGTGCCTATGTGGAGGTGGCCCGGTCCCTTTCCCCCATATTCCCACCTCCCTCTGGAAGTGCTGGCGCGATGGTTGCAGCAGCAGGTTTCAGGGGTTATGCAGGTGGTATGTGGGGACGGTTCATCTGTTTTGGAGGAGGTAGCAGGAGCATAAGTAGGGAAATGAGAGAGGGAAGAAAAGAGGCAGGGCGTGGGAGGCTGCAGGGGAGGAGGAAGGAGTAGCAAAAGCAGAAAGAGCAACAGCACCAGGATATGGTGCAGGAACAGCGGAGCGGAGCAGCAGGAGTGGAGTCGCGAGAGTAGGAGCAGCATCTGAAAAATACGTGCACACTTACAGGGGAGCCGGGGATGCAGCTGCAGTTGAATTGGAGCGAGTGTTGGGGGGTTAACGCAAGCGTTCACAGGGGCGGAAGCTGGCATGCCTACTTCTCCCCCGTACCCTCCCCTTCCTTACCGTTCCCCCCTTCTACCCCCTTCGTCCATTCACCTGCCTCCTGGTTCTCACCCACCAACCACCACTTCATTTAGCCAGACCCCTCCACTCAGGCTGAGCTTCTTCTCCTTCCACCTTCCCTTGCTTCATTTTTCCCTCCAACACCCTCTACCGCCGCTCATCATGCCGGAACCACCAAATCCTTCTCTGCAGCCCGGCTGCACTCCTGCTCCTCCGCTACCCGTTCAATCTCCACATCGGCCCTCCAGCACGCTATGTCTCTCGGGTGCGTCTCACCCGCGCTCTCCTCCAGGTTTCAGCTGGGCGGGGAGGGGTATGAGGGGAGAAATGAGTGTGGTTAGGGCAGGAAATGGTGGTGGTGACTTCAAGCACGCGAGGCGGGGAGCTCTGCACCTGCACTGTATGGGTGCATACGATACTGTGATACATGCATCCACGCGTAGAGCAGGGATGAGACTACTGCTGTCCTGCTGCTCTTGCTAATCCTTTACAGTTACATTTTCAAAACCAGGCTGGTACCGTGGTCCTCGATGTGTGCTTGGAGTAACTTATCCCATGCACAGTCTATAGAGTAGTGAATGACCATTGCAGCCTTGCGTCCTTATCCTGTTCCCTCCCCCTCCCCTCCTCTCAAGCAGCTCCTGTCTGCTGGTGCTGACAGTGCGTTGGTGGGCACGTAGCACGACCTGCCATTGATGGGCTTGTGTCTCGGCCAGAGATGGATGCAAGCGACAGCGTGTTCAGATGGGCTTTTCGCCGCCCCTCTCTACTACAGCTCATGCGCGTTGGCGCTGTCCGTGTCTTGGTGGGCGCATGGCACGACCTGACAGAGACACCGAGGCAGGAAGAGAGAGCAGCTGAGGCAGCAAGCGACCCCAAGAACATCCTCTGGAAGAATATGAGTGCAAGATTTGTGCATGGTGAGCCGGGTGGGTGGGTGGATGGGTGGGGCCGATGCGTGCATGCATGGTGTGTGCAAGTTATGTGCATGGTGTGTGCATGGTGTGTGCATGGTGTGTGATTGGTGTGCATAGTGTGTCAGTCATGTGTATGGTTTGCACAGCATGGTTTTTGCATGCTATTTGTGTGCATGGTTGACTGGATG